ATCAGAACAAAAACCACCACCACCGAGTCCGATCGCTACGCTAAAGGGTCGGGAAATGTAGATTTGAAACTGTAAACCGCTTGTAACCGGCGGCCCCGCTTGTGGCGCCTACGCAATTTGCCTCCGTCCTTCCGTCCTCCGGGAGAAGAAAGCAGGTGTACTTCGAATTCCCCGCACCAGATCAAAGCTATTCAATCACAAAACTAACGTTATCCCATCGAAACTCTTAACATACCCAGCCATGTGGTCTTTTTTAACGTAACGCGTCGCGCACAAGGATAAACTACCATTCATTAATAAAGTTGATTCGCGGGCTAGGTCGAGAGATCTGTCAGCTTTCAAATTGAACTCGAGTCCCCTCAAATCGACGGTAGCTGTGAAATATGCGATCAAGGTTTCGTGTAGCTGCCTGCCTGCCCCGCGTAGTATACCATCAAAAAATTGATACGAAGCACGGATTCGAATGGTCTCGGGCGTAGGCATCATAAAATCACCTCAGGGAGAAAGCCGCAGAATTTCAAATATAAACAGAGGTCTAGCTTTTGATAACTTAAAAGAGTGAGAAAAACGGCTGAACGGCTATGAAAAGAGAAGCACCTCCTCGGGTTGGATATAATTTACCGTTGTGCCCTGCGGTACCGAAAACCTTGGGTGAGCCTCGGAATGCTGCTTCAGATTTTAGCGCTTAGCCCTGGTTTCAGGGATGAAAGGAAGGGACTGACAAAATGTGGAGCGCGCCGGTGAAAAGGAAACCTAATTGCGAGTTTGCAAATGACAAGGCATCCACCGGATTAAGGACCGGACACGACATAGAAAAGACCGTGCCTTGCCGAGTTTTATCGGGGCACTATTAGTTGGTGGATGCGTTAATGATGAACAACTGGACCGGATCGAATGCCTATACGGGATGGTGGGTCCGTTGGTCCTGTGTATTGGCCGACAAATCCGCTAACAGCGAGTGAGCAAGTGAGTACGCAGCTGAGATGAAAAACGTACCAATGTCATGCTGTATGCTGCTGCTCACATTGCGAAGACAGCGGATGGTCGGGCCGTAAGTGAAGAGTGTACGTATAGGCTATCATTGAAATGCGAAGGCGAAGGTGAACGTTCGGCAATATCTGTCCACCACAGTGATCGACAGGAACTGGAGGAGACATCCTCATGCTCTATTCTGTCGTACAGTGCGTTGGTTTCCATGAGGTGGCTACAGCGTCCGACGTCAGGCACAAAGGGCTCCTCATTCTGGTGGTCATGGTGGGGATGATTGTAAGGTATACAATTCCGGTAGCTGGGCGCTTTCCCGGTTGTTCTGACACTCCGTTAATACATGTGCCCCGGGAGACGGAACTGCCCAGACGCCTGTTGTAATTTGGATAATATAAACATTATTATTTCGTGACCCAAGAGATGTTGAGAAGACTCTTGTGCGTGCAGGACCGGTTTTCTAAGCTCAACATGATCGATACTGAACATCAGATAAACAATGACTGAAAACATACATTCAATTGTGAAGTAAAGGATCGACCGGTGTTGTAGATGGGGTGCTTCTTGCAAGCTTGAAAGACCGAATGTAGACATCATGAACGTTTCGGTAACCATAATTCTCCGGCTTGTCAATGTCAGGACCACTCAAGTGATCATGTCAGACACAAGAAAAGTCCCACAGAGGAAAACTGAATGATTTCCCTTCTCTGTATACAATGGACACACGAAAATTTCGTATCATGTGGCTGTAGAACTCTAAAGGGGGATGTATATTTGGACATCGGCAGATTCACCAAGACGAGGGGGTATTGAAAAAAATGCAATATCCGATGTTGTTGAACGGCGGTCGTGAGAACGGCATGGAGGTCAATGTCAATGAACCCATTGTGTAGCGGCGAATGCGTCGGGCTACGGAATGTCGGAAACGTCCCCGTTTGGCGAAACAGGCCCAAAAGTCAAAATCAACGACATGATCCTATAGGAGTTGACGAGACAAAGAGAACTTACAGAGACTGCCAAAAAGAGTACTTAGAAGTGCCGGCGAATACAATGACGGAATCAGGCGCTTGTGCGGACAGCACACGTCAAGAACCATCGGACAATCCGATGTATTGAGTTCAGGGTTACGGATGTTGCTCCGCAGAAGGATTTAAACATCGAGATTGAGTCCGCCATTGAAAAGAAAGAACACAGTACAGGAATGATGGCCGACGCTCGGAGGCAGTAGACTAATATAAGCACCTCGAGATATATTCAGGAGAGGAATAACTGCATAGAGATATAGTTATCCGTGCCGGTGACACCCTTGCTGGAATGGAGAGTTGTCGAAAAAAGACCATTCAAAGAGAGTCAAATAGAATCGAGTTCTATCAAACGCGATAGAGTTTGACGACGAAAAATATTCCTCAGTTCCTGTCAGAGTGCACCTGAAATATTTGGCTTGCGGCCTCCAGGGCGTCGCTGAGCGCTGATCAATGATCCCTTTACGAGTCGAAACAGGTGGCGTCGAGGCGGGCCGTCACGGCATGACGTGACGTCGCGATGCTGTGACCGGCTGTGCAATGACGTCACTATCGATCCGCTTGACTCCAGTCTGGATTCTCTTGTCCTTCTACTCTCATCATCCGTTGAATCCGTAGCAATGCCCTCTATAACCGACTTACCCGTAGAGCTCTTCTTGGACAATTTACTGCCAATACTGCCAACGAGCGATCTCGCCCATTTGGCTGCAACCTGCAAGGTACATTGACCCGCACCGGCTATAACGTCCTGTCCAGGTCGTGATTGTTGGACTTTGTTCTAGTTCTTTGCTTTGCTTGCATCCGATAGTACTTTTTGGAAACTCAAATGTCAATCCGACTTCAATTTTTCTGGGGCTGGAACTGCTCGAACCAGTGGCTGGAAGTTTATCTATTCACGTCTCTTCAAACCACGCGGTACGCTTCACGACATCGTTGTTAAGCATATATTGTGACACACCCATCATGCAATAGTTTTCGTTTGGGGGTCAGTATTTCTATAAACCGCAATATTCATATCTTATATCCGACTGATGGTTGAGCGCAGAGCGCCATCTCAAGGGAGACTCGGGTTGTCAACACTGCCTAAAACTTCGCTTCGTGATGTACCTTTTCCGACTGAGCTGAAAATACCTGGTGCCCGTATCGTCAGTCTTGTCGCAGCGGGAATGTAAGGGTCCTCCACTTCGTTTATCCATTTCAGGACGTGACTCTTTGCCCTTCCAACAATAGGTCGTTTCACGCCTTGGATTCCAAGGGGAACATCTTTGTTTGGGGTTCGTTGAACATTTTCATTCAAATGTGTAGACTCAATGTTTACTCCTAGGTACACTTGATGGACTGCAGCGTGCTCTGACTAGTGACGGTTTTTCTGAGGCCAACAAGAAAGCAAATCACCCGCTGAGACTGCATTTACCCGTTTCGATGCGCAGCATCAGGTCTGTCACGCGTTTTTATTTGCGCGCTAATGTTGACACGCATAAGCTGCGGAAGATTCCATGCGGCGTCTATGGACTCTCAAGGCTACGTTTGGAACTTTATCAACTGGGGACGACCATTCCGGTTGACATCGACCCGTCTCAAGGCGTCCGATTGCCATTTAATTCAGGTCGAATGTGGGTGGAATTTTTCTTCTGCTTTGACGAACACCGGCGACATTTTTGTTTGGTGGCCTTTTTCTGGCTCCATGGAAAGACTCATTGAAGAGAGAAATTCGGCAATGAACGACGCCGGAGATAAGAAAGGCCTTATATCAAGTGATGGTGCTATTGCATGCGTGCCTTGGGATCTTGATATGGATCCCGTCGCTTTGCCTGCGTTGCCTCCTCTTCCCGTCTTGAATACTTCCCCGGACAACAACACCGACGAACCAATCAGAGTTATACAAATAGCATCGTACGACGGTCATATGATTGCTCTTACGACGAAAGGCCATGTCCTCAAGTTTGGCTCCCTAGAAAATGAAACGACCGTAACTAGTGGTCGATGGGAATATGTAGCTCCTTACTATAGGCCGCTGGTACTTGTTAATCCTGTTCTTTTGTTTAGTTACCGAGGTATAGCGAAGTTAAAAGAGTCCGACAACATGAGACGTTCTCTTCGGCCGGTGGTTCAGTAGAGCCTCCAGTAACAATGAAAATCACACATGTCAGTGTCTGTTTCATACTTGGTGTTCAGATAACTTAGATTTTCGTAGATATCCGCCCACTTCATGCGCTTCATTGCCTATTCCACTGGTTCTAGTTCGATCGTTCTTATGGGAGACATTGACACTACGCCCGATTCCGAGCCACAAATCATCCCTGCGCTTCAGAACGAATCAGTCATATCCGTTGTTCTCGGAGACTATCATCAAGCGGCAGTGACGGCGGCCGGCAAACTGTCAAGTTGGGGTGCATACTCCAATGGAGCTCTTGGACTAGGGGACCCTTGCCAGCTCGAGCCCGGTTGTCCGGGTGCATTCCAGACTGAAAACGAACGGCTTATGGCCCTAGACCGAGGCAGAGGCACTCCTGCTGCCGTCCAAGTTCCCACTGAAGTACGGTTTGACCATAACAGGAAGAAACCAAAGGACAGGTTCTGCCTTTCAGCCGCAGCATCTGGATGGCATTCTGGGGCCCTGGTCATCGACCTTGAGGTATGGTAGTCATTGAGACGTTAGTGATGCTTATGAATGCTGTAAAACAGGAGAATGCGGAAGACGCGGACAGTGATATTGAGCAAGATAAACCCCCAGAGCCGCTTCCGGCGCCGGCGCGCCGCCACATTGCACCGCCAGTTATACCTCTAGATCCTGGTCATCCTTTTATCGCTCGTGGTAATCCTTTCTTCAGGATCGGTTTTGCAGGTAGAGGATTGAACCGGGGGGGATCAAGTCGCGGACGGGGAGGTTCTTAAGATTGTGTAGGCCTTGAATAATCCTTAGAGTGTAATTTTAGCGTAATCAGAAGAGTTGTGGCCCGAGAACCTATAGGCTTAAATCGCATCCCTGACATTGGCCTGATGGTCTAGTAGTATGATTCCTTGTTAGGGTGTTCGTACAACCATCGAGGAGGTCCCGGGTTCAATTCCCGATCAGGCCCAGTTGATTTTTTGTCTCCTACCATTTTCGAATGTACTTAGTACTAATAATTACTTAAATACTGTGTAACTATGTCCTTTGGGCCTTCAGTGTTTGTTCAGTCACTTCAGTGTCCACGTTTTCTGTGCCTGGTCGACCGAATTGTCTGTTCTCGAGGGCGTGAGTCGTCGTCACGGTCCCAAATTATCAAAGAGGTAAAGCACTGCTCTTGGCCCGGTGTATACTGTTATATTTGTTGACTCCTGTTCGTCGGTGGGGGGACCTTGGAGATGGGTGCGATCGTTGGCCGATCACATTACAAATGACCGTCCACCGCGAAGGCAGCCCGGTCGTGAGGAGAGGTTGCACGATTGAGCATGCACCATACGAGTCCAGGATTACCTGAACCTTCATGCTTCAAGGGGGAAGACTTAGTCCCCTACATCTTATAGTTTACTGCGTATTCTCAGTACCAACCCGACTCACTTAGAATTAGAACAGGTTGTAGGACGTTTATTTGAAACGTGTTAAGATATTCCTCAACGGTAACGGCATCCGACTCTTGATTTCCCCCTGGCTCCCACGTCTTATCGAATTTTCATCCATCGTTGTCTTCGACGCCGGGGATGGTGATGCCCTCAATTTCGCCTTGTTTTCTTTACCACTGGCAGCACCTCCTTGAATCGCATTGACCGCTGCACGACCAAAAGAATAACGGCCAAGGGGTGAAGTGTGAGAAGTATGAGAAAGCCTTGACTTCGGGGGTACCTCCGGAGTTGCTGTTATCGTAGTTGGCGAGCACGGGCGCTTCTCAGTCGTTGTTCCTGTAGGGGAAGATACCGCAGGTTGACTATGTCTGGTCCTCGTCTTTGTTGGGGAGCGGAGAGATGACGGGCGCCTCTCACTGGGTGGTGTCGACATCGCACGAGGAGGAGAGATGATTGTAGGACGAACAGTCCCAGGCTTCTGACGTCCTGCTGCACGTAAAAACGTGAGTTGATCATTGCTGGGCGGGATATCTTGCGGGGGTATGATTTTGCTTGCGGGAGCATAAATCATACGGCGCTTCGTTGTCCGATGGGCAACTGGTGTAGACGGACCGGTCGAATGACTAGGGTGTGACGCGACATCACTTTGCACCTGAACCTCGGGTTCCTGGTTCGAGGATGCAAACCTGACGCTTTTACACCGCTTTAAAATTCCGCGTGGAAGGATGGCACCTGTAGGAGCTGGACAAGATGGAAGAGGGAATGAAGGAGGAAGGTAGTTCGAAGCAATAGGAGGAACCCCAGACGGCACGCCATCAAACTCGAGGTGATCAAGGGACTTATTCATAGCACTGTCGTTGCCGACCAGTGTTTCGTCTAGCAGCACAGTCTGATCGCCTGTGGCGAGTACGAAGGAATCGTCTTGGGACAGAGAAACCGTTGTGTCACAATAATTCGAGGAAGGCGAAAAAAAAGGTTGCTTCAATGCGTCTGCAAAAGCCCATTCATCGTCGAGGGGCATATCGACCCGTGTGGTGTTGAAATCATCGTCCAGCAGAGTCTTGACCTGAAGGGATGCACATTGTGACCGCAGACTTCCAACCATGTCCTGGAGGTTCATAGACTCGTTGGTGACAACTTTAGCAGGATCGAACTGAGAAGCGTACGAGGGCGTTCCCAAAAAGGCGGTAGGAATGTCAGGGTATATGATGTCTTTCATTTTGTTATCGTTTAAGGAGAGCGGGGGGAGCGACTTTTGCCGCCGAATCGCTATAGAAGAGGGCGCACCAGTGTTGGAGTTGATAGTTCCTGAAGATTCGAGAGAGATAGGTATGGCGAAATGAGAATTAGAGACCATTAGAGATGGAGGCGGGGGAGGCTCATTGACGGTGTCCTCCTCAGGGCAAGAAGGGTCAGAGAAATACTTGTTCAAGTCGCGCAGTTGCAGCATCATGTCGACCACGTCAGGCTTCATAGTGTTGGCAGGAATCTGAACGGACCAGCGCTTCGTCTCGCCTTCTGTTCTGAGTGTGATTTCGCGTTCAAACACCAGGGCGTCGCGATGGTAGGTAGATTTGCGAACAGAAGCTCGCGTAGACGTCCGAGGCGCTGGAGAGCCGGGCCCGCAAGTGCGACGCTTACTCTGAAGAGATTCCTTGAACTCTTCGGGTGGGTACATCGAGCCTTCTGGTTTCCATGCTAGCGCATCTGCGCATTCCGGATCCCCCCAGGGCGTGTGACCGGGTGCAATAATATCAGAGGAAAGATTTTCCTGCAGACCTCATCAGTTGATGTGGAATGTCAGGGTAGATCGAACGTACTGCCCACTTCCTGATGCATAGATTTTCCTTCAACATTGTTCGAAGCCGAGGAGGGGTAGGAACAGTAATGGTCGCGTTGTGCTCGCCCGCCTTGACAGATACGCTGAGAATCGTGGACATAGGTATCATGCATCCAGGAGGGAACGGCGGGATATTAGATTCTGAAGATATTGTTGATAATGAGTCCATGGAAAGGGACTCCAGGAGAAGACTAGTAGCGTGTAGGTCGACAAAGGATTTTTCCAAGTCAATTAGGGGGCTAGAGGACGTGCTTTGAAGAACCTTATCGTCGATAGAGGTAGCCATTGTGGTGTTGGATGGAGTCCGAATTCAAGTTGGATATAGAGACGTCGTTGAAGATTTATCTTTGTTTGTCCTAGTGGGCACTTGATGACGCTGGGGATCGACTTGAATGCCAGTGATCGGATCGCGTGTCCAGTCGTAAATAAATCCGGAGAGTCTTCGCACATCATATCGTAAGTTAATTCCACAGTTGACGTACTGGGTCTATATCATCAAGATCCCCGAGAGGTGGTGCTTCTCAGCAAAAATGATTGCAAAAAATTGAAGTCGGATTATTAGCCGTGACAATTTTTAATAAAGGCGGGACCGATGGTACAACCTCTGGCCCTGCCTCGGTTCGTTGGACCAAAAATACACGCTGAAACATGTATCACAGACCTTCGGGTATCGTTAATAATCCATAAGATAGCCGATGAGGAATTTATAGCGCTCGCATGCACCCAATTCCCGGCATTGACATCTGACCAACATATGACTCAAAGAAGAAGGCGTGAAAGAAGTCGGAGCGCATCAACTTGAGAAGTCGGATAAGAGTTTTACCAAAGGAAAAGATACCCATCTTTTCAACTTGCCGTCTATTGACTGACTTTGTCTCCGTGATGTGCGGCGCGCTCCCAACCAGTCCATGACGGCGGTCCCATACCGAGGCAGTAATAATCCATAGATAAGTAGTGAAAACTAAATTATACTCTCTAAGGATAAGTCTTGCAGATCATCGCATACGGGGATACTCTAGTTTATGAAGGATTCGTCAGTGCCTGTCCGACTCGGAGTCTCCGACCGGTTCTGGTATTCAGGACAGTAAGCCTGATCTCACTGGATTCTGTCGACAGACAGAATTTTACACAGCTGCCTTTCCCCCGGAATTGACCCAATGACCAAGGAAAGGATAAGCATGTGAGCTATATAGAGCCAGGGTCAAAGCGACGAATTTGAATTTCATCGGAGTGACGGAGTTCGGAAAAATCAAAGTCTAGGCGTGATCAAGGCATGACGAAGCCATCACTCACAAGAGCTGGTCCTGCCAAGATCTTGCAATCCCCTGGTGGTGCTTACTCGAAAGCATACGGTACAGCGAGAGATAAGGATGATTGCATTGCCATTTTACGACATGAAGCCGCATGACGCGGTATTTTCTTGGGTCCCTCACGGCTGAACTTTCACTCGAGGCTTCGTTGCAGCAAATGGCTAGAAATCATATGGCTTTGCGAATCGATATTTCTCTCTGACATCCCTTCAAATGCCATAAGGAGCCCTGTGTGTCTCTTCACTTCGCGCGTATGCTCTGCGAGTATTTTGGCTTGGCGTTCTACTGAGCCGTCTCTGTGATAATACTTAGCTGTCGGTACATGCTACTGCATGGTGTCTCTGTAGCTACACATGGCTACGACTAACGCACACTTAAAAGCAAAACGGTTGCCACTAGTGCATGGCATCTGCTCTGTCGATTCTACTTCTTTTTTGTCTTCATAATGCGGTTGCAAGTTGTAGTTTTCGCCGCCCTTTTGGCATCTTTGGCCTTAGTTCAGTCGGCGCCTATCACCTCCGACGAGATCGAAACGAAATCTGCCCAAGGATATCGCCTTCTCAGCATCGTGGATGGTGAATATCCTGTATGGAAGACCGAAGACGAGAAGCTGCAGCTCATGCGCGAAGAGGTGCAATTCGTATGTTCACTGGCCTATCACAGGGAATCTTTTCTTGAACCATCATATATTCTCTCCAGTTTGATGTGACCGATGTCTACGAACTCGAGCAGAAGCTGGCCACCAAGGAGAAGGTCTCGGTGGGTAAGGCCGCCTGTGAGTCTTGCATCTATTTGTGCTTTTTTTTTTTACTAGATATTGATGACCACTAAGTTCCCACTCCGTCGAAACAGTCAGAAGTAAAACCCCTTCTGAATACGATCTCCACTTCCAACATGAAGAACTATCTCGCGAATTTGACTTCTTTCAACAACCGATACTACACGTCGAGCACCGGGTTACAGGCAAGCAACTGGATTCTAAACACCATTTCTGATGTGACACCATTCGCTGGTACAATAAACGCTATGTTTTATTGACGCAATACCCTAGATTGCCGCCGACCGCCGCGACATTACTGTGTCCAAGTTTTCACACCGGTTCCAGCAATTTAGCATTGTTGCCAAGATCCCCGGCTCTGAGGCTTCGACCCCGGTCACTATCCTAGGGTCGCACATGGACTCAATTAACCTTAACAGTCCCTCTTCCGGTCGCGCACCCGGCGCTGATGACGATGGAACTGGTTCCGTCAACCTCATCGAGGCATTCCGGGCCCTTATTGCTGCCGATTTCAAACCATCGACCCCAGTTGAATTTCACTGGTACGCAGCTGAGGAAGTCGGACTTCTTGGGTCGCAAGATATCGCCGATAGTTATGCCGATGAC